TAGAACTCACAGATCTTTCCTGGACCTAAGTGACAGCTTCCTTCAAAGCTGTAGTCTCTAGGCAGCCAGGAAAATTTCCCTGGGCTCTTGAATAAAACTGCCTCCTCTCCACCAAGGCTGGGAAGATCAGAGTCTAACTAACTAACCTCCCCTGCAACATATACAGTAGGAAGGGAGCGCTGTCCTGGGTCTGAAATCGCTCATAGTCAATATTATCCAGAAGAAGAGCAAGACTCTGTACTGAGAAGACTGAATTTAGATAAACTTGGAATAGGCTCGCTCCTCTTCCCTTCCTCTCGCTGGCCTTTTGGGTTTCCATTATCTTACAATTGGCTTGGCACCAGGGAAAGGCTCCTGGGTCTGGATCCAGGCTAAAGAAAAAGCTCATCTTTCTCTTCAGGTTTTTCCTTAATTGCTGTTCACTTTGGGATATTCCATAAGAGCTAGCTCTTGGGGATTTTAATTGTCCTCTGTATCACTTCTGCTAACTTTTCCTTTTGAGGATGGTTCGTAGGCACATGAAATGTGGAAACGTCTTTATGATGGGCTCATCTTCTATGGTAGGTTCTTTTGATTGTTTTTTGTTTTGTTTTTTTCTCATTGGGAATCCTCTGCATCTTGGATCATGGGCTATCTCTACATAGAAGGTTTTACTTCATTCCTGCTCACACCAGAGTGAACTATCGCCCCCCTCAAAATCCTGTGTAAGTTCTTAGCGCGGGGACCTTGCAACTGTTTATGGCATGAACTTGGTCTTAGGTCTACATATGAACTTTCGTGGCCCCTTTCCTCATAATGACATGTGCCTCTCTACTTTGTTGCCCTGGGTCATGAGGAAGAAAGCACCTTGGCTCTCCAGTCCCTGGACAGTGCTTCCTTGTTCTGTTTCCATTTCTCTTGGGTCCGAGATCACACCTTCTGCTTGGTGCATTCCGCTTTAACATCCCTGCGCTAGGGTTTGTTTACCTCTATAAGAAGGCCACAGTGTCTCACAACCTGCTTTGACTCTGACTTTCCTCTGTTTTTGGGTCCAGAGTGAGGTGTGACCGTGTATTAATCACTCTGCTGCTATATCTTAACCAGCTCTGTCTTATCTGTAAGCTTAGTCTGCCTTGTTTCTGAGTACCAGGGCCGTTCCTCTCATACCTTTGACTCTACTGAGGGTGAGAACTGTATTTGTGCAAGGTTTGCCCAGTGCTTGGTGGTGTTGCCCACTAGAGGCCAGTGAAGCCCACTCTATATAGCTGCTCTGGGGGCATGTGTGCTCCTTAGCCTCTCTGAGAAGCATCGGGGCTAGGCTGGCACCAACTCCCTTCAGCCTCACAACCTGCATATACCCAGGAAGGAAACCTGCTCTGCTATAGAGCAGATTTTGCCCACGTCAAGGCACTCTCGGATCCCCAGGGACTTTGAGGATTCTAGAACTTGTTTCCAGCTTCTCCTCTCAGAATAACATTACTTTCAGGGTCTCTGCAGGCTTCCCTACTGCCGCAGCCTGGGCCAAGGCCAGAGAGGAAGCCATGGGGAAGAGGGGCTCTTGCTGCTCCCGGTGATGGGAAACTTAAGAAATGAATGCTAGAACAGGTGACCGCAGCAGAGGCCTCTCTGTAGAGTCCCAGATCAGAGGGCTTGGGGAATACTTAGGGGCTAAAGGCTACTACTCCCCTGTGGGGTCCTCTGAAGAGGATAAGAAGGCTTTGAAGGCAGCTCCAAGCAACCACCCTGAGGGAGCCCGAGGCCAGAGTGCCCCTAGCCCTTTCTCCCATCTAGTGGGTCCCATTTTCCTTATCACTTAGTTGAGACTCGGCTCTGTTCCAGACCGGCAGCCTAGAGCAGTGGGCTGGAGTAAAGAGATGCAGCCGAGCTAGGGCAACCCAGCGGCGGAGGGGAGAGTGGGTGATAAATTTAAATAACCAGCTTGACTTGGCAGCTTGCTGGGTTGTGATGCAGTGAAATTAAAATCTCGGCAGAACTTCCAAACGCTACCCTGAGAAATTGATGTCTTGCCTTGGTTCCCTGCTGGAAGCTGGGTGGGGAGGCTCTCAGGCTGAGTCCTAGCCTGTGGCAGCCACCCTTGCCTGTGATGTGATTAGCTGTGTCCTGGCCCACTGGCTCCCGGTCTCCCCGCCACACAATAGTACAGGCTCCTGTCTCCTCTCAGTCTTGACCTTGTGGAACAGCTGTATCAAGTGGCTGGTGAAGTTTGAAATCAGCCTCTAGTGCCAGGAAGTGGCAGGAATATCAATAAGGTCTGGATTTTCAGATTGGGCCAAGTTCCATCTTCCTTAAGGCCCATTTCTTAGGGTTTGCCTCTTCTGAGGGAGGATGGTGAGCTGGGTACCTGGGGACTTGCGGATTGCCTTAGCATGTCCAAGGCTATGGGCACAGCATGACCTGGTAGCTCCCTGATTTAGCATCCATGAGGCCATACTACTACTAGATTCCCTTTTTCCTCCACCAAAGCCCTTACTATTCTCAGATGAAATAAGCTTTTAAAGGATGTCTGTGCCCCGGATGGAGTGGCTCACTCTTTTTAATCAAAGTACTCAGGAGACTGAGGTAGTTAGTTTGCCTGTTCTGAGTTCAAGGCCAGCCTGGGTTACATAGTGAGGCTCTATGGGGGTCGGGGGTAGAAGAATTTCTGCAAACACACCAAGAGTTTCTCTCACCTCCCCAGCATGCTTGGAGCCCAGTTCTCAGATATGTCAACATCTCTCTAGAGCTCACTCAAAGTCCACTTGTTCTGCCTGTCCTTGCCATACTGCTTCTTGCTACCTGTCAAGTCCTGCCCCGAAAAAGCCAGCATGCTAAACCCGTTCCCAAGATGGCCCGCGAAGTCTCTGGGCCATACCCGTTTCTCACCTTGGCAGCACCTCCAGCAAGTTCTGTTTGTCCCCATAATAAACACATCATGAATCATTCATCTTTAATAGATTATGCAAATTAGGAGGACATAAAATCAACAAAGATCAATAGCTTCAGCCGTTTAATTGCCAGCTAAAACATTTTAAGAATGAGCATAATCTGAAGCTCTTTCTCGAGTAATGGCACTATTAATCCAAACATCGGATCTCGGTCTAAGTGTGAACAAAATCACTCCCTGCCCTCAGCCACCCCTCCCTCCCCTCCCCCACTCCCTCCACACTTCTCTCTTTTTTGGTAATTTCCAGTTTCTGAGCGAGTTTCCCCGTCATTACCACTGGCGAACAGCTCCGAATGTTAATGGTTCTGCTTTTGTTACTCCTCGCTTGATTGAAATGTCGCATACAGATTGAGACGTTAGTGCTAACTTGCCACCTGGGAATGTCAAGCTGGGTCTGAAATGAACTTTTCTCACACTTGGATCCAGATGGATCAGCCGAAGATGTTCCCAGGCTGAGCTGGGACCGTTCCAGGGCCATGGGGGGGAGACTGGTGGGGGCTGCTCAAGGTGGAATCATTTTTCTACATTAGCCCCCCAGGGTCCCTTGCAGCAGGAGTCCTGCCCGGAAGAGCCACATGTCCACCCCCAGGAAGTTCCTGCCTTCTGGACTGCAGAGCTGACTATAAAGGTCTTTACACTCTTTTCCGACTTTTGAGGTGCAGCCACTGTGCCGGAAAGCTGGCCTGGCTTGGGTGGGACGACCAGAGAGCAACTATATTGGGCTTCAGAGAACTCATATCCAGGGCCTGTTGGTCTAAGCTAGAGGGTTCTCAACCTGTGGGTTGTGACCCCTTTGGGTCGCATATCCTGCATATCAGATAATTACATTATGATTCATAATGTAGTATAGTAACCGTAGAAAACTACAGTTATGAAGTAGCAACGAAATACTTTTAAGGTTGGGGTGGTCGCCACAGCGTAAGGAATTGTAGACGAGGGTCATGGCAGTAGGAAGGCTGAGAAGCACTGGTCTAAGCTGTGTCCTGACCCAGCTGGCGTAGCTCAGGGCATCACTTCGAGAAGCTGAGTCAGCCCAGGAGCCCATCAGAGACTCAGTCTCTGGATTCCTAGTCAAAGACTACAACTCTGTTTTTGCTGGACAAGGGGCATCACTTCAGGAGAGCTGGGAGATATAGGGCTCTCTGGAGCCCCCTGGAGGGGCCTCTGAGCCCTTCTCTGCCTGAGTTGAGCTACTAGCCACAGGAAGTCACCAAGTCACCAACAATCACCACAGAGCCCTGTCCTGCAGCAGGGCCCGAGCCTGCTCCCTGTCTTTGCCCCTGGATGAGATGCTGGCTGCCTACAGCCTTGCTGCCCTATCCCCAGGCAGCCTCAGCTCACTCACAGGTAACGCCTAATCCCCACCGAGACCCTTCTTAATCATCCTGTCTCCCAAGGTACAAACGGCACATTGGCTTTAGTGCCTCCAGAATAATTAGGTGAATTTTAATAACACCTCGATGTGTGTCTCTCTTACTAGAGTTCTCCTGGCCTGGAAACCCTTCCGTGGCGCCAGGGACCTTCTGAAGCTAACATCTGAGGCCTCTCTACCAGCTTTCCCCTCTGTGGCCACTCCAGCGCCTCCACGACTCTCATCCCTGGAAGGCTTGGGCGGGGTGCCTCTGTCCTGTATTTGACCTCCCCTGGCCTTGAAATCCGCCTTTCCTCTCGGTGGCTTTCTCCAGGAAGAAGAAAGCAGAAAGGCCACAATAACTGTGTTCCACTCTACAGGGCTACTACTACACACTCAGGTCCCAGGCCACAGCTACTCTAGTGGCATGAGAGAGGAAAACAAGGGTCTCGGCACCCTTGGGGACAGGGAACTGTGAAGGCTAGAGGCTGGGGACCTCTTAGGCACTTTCCTCAGCTGGCCTATTTGCCCTGACATTCTTCTGCACATGTCCTAGCCAAAGACTGGGAAGACTGGACAACTTGGGGAGAGAGAGGAAGGAACGCAGGCCCCTAGCCCCCGCTTTTCAGGCTGAAGCCCAGAACCCTGACCACAATGTTTCAAGCCTACATCCACACACATCTGTTCAGGAAGGTTCTCCATCTCTTTCTCTCTCTCATTCTGCAGATACCATGGCAGGGGGCCCACTTGTCACACTGGGCCCCAGATGGCATCAACCGAGGCACCCCACTGAAAGCAGCACCCCACCCTCCTGGAAGCCCCCTTACCGGTCACGACGGGGTATGTCTGTGTGCCTGACACATTGCTGCCCAGCTCGGGGTTGGCGGATGCAGAGAGACCTGACTTGACTTCATCAAGCCCAGGGGTCAGGGCCGGGAGAGAGTACTCATTCCCCTGGGAGGAGAGAGAAAAGTGACAGCTCTCTATTGATGTGTATACATGGGAAGATGCAGTGTGCAGATGGAGAGGAGGACCCTGGAGCCCTCCCAGATGGGGCGGAAGGAGATGGCTGCGGGGGGCGGGGGGAGAGTTTGGAGAGAGTGGCGGGGTAGTCCACCCTGGAGGTGGAGTTCACAGCGCTCCTGGAGTTTTTTCATCAGCTTCTGCCTAAGGAGCTCCAGCGGGGAGCATAGTAATAGGGATCCCCTTGCTGAGAAGTGTGGGGTGCTCAGGTTCCTCTGAGTAGGAGCCTTGGGAAGCAGAGATGGTCCCTGACACATGGCCGAGGTAGTTGTTGGAGGAAGGGCCTCGTGGGGCCTCCAGCCTGGCACTGCTGGGTTGGCTGATGGGGTATGGGCGCCCCTTTTTAAAAAACAAACAAAGACAGCCCCATGGGCCCTTTGCTCTCTGCCTGTGCACTGGGGTATGAAATTGGGGAGGGGGAGAGTCCACATGGCTAACAGAAGGGTGGGAGGGGGCCAGCCATTGAGTCTGAAAGGGTGTCCTGCCCGAAACACTTGGGTAATTGCCTTTTTATTACAGCCACCACCAAGCCAGACCCTGGAGCTGGGCAGACCAGGAGCCTGCACAGAGCAGGAAAAGTTGCTCTGATTAATATTACGTTAAATTAAAACTGATTTTCTGCTCTTTCAGGTCCGTTTTTTTTCCTTCCGCTTCCTGGCCCCCCCAGAGGACCCCCTCCCCTCTCTGGCTGGACGGGATTGCCTCGTCATTTCCAATTCCTTCTCGTATTGATCTTCCTGTAGAAATCAGTTTTGTAATTAGCTGCAAATTAGGCCTTCTACTGGGGGTGAAGCTGCCCCCTGATTTATCACCAGAGTAATTCGCTGTGATCGGAGAGAAATTAAAATGAACTCAATTAGGCTTCGGATTTGCTTTATGGGCCCTGCTCCGAGTTTCAGGGGGAAAAATGACTGTGCTGGTGTTTAATAGTCTAATGAAAGTAAATAAAGGTTATTCATTGTAATACAGCCGGGGACTTGGGGAGGGTGCACTGAGCCGCCCGCCTCGGCCAGCTCCTCCTTTGTTGGTTTATGGCTCAGGGCACCTTAAAAAGACTTTTGATTTTTGTTTTATGAAGACAAACAGCTTATGGGATAAAAGGCCGGGCGGGAAGAAAGTCGAGAGGCTAGGAGCTATTGGAGTCTCTGAGTGTAAGTGTGCTATGCGGAGCCTGAGGGGCTTTGCCAGTGTACAGGCGTGCGCATGTGGGTGAGCGCGCAAGCCTGAGTGTATGCACAGCAGGCTGTGTTCTGCTGCCCTCGGAGCCTGACCTAGGTCATATATGTAGGCAGGCTGGGGCTATGGTGATGTGCGGGTGGAGGCATGTGCTAGAGGAGTGTTGACCGGATGACCTGGGAAGCATGCGCACTTACGGGGTTTGCAGGACTGCTAGGTTACCTGTGAAAGGCAGAGGACAGGTCTGTGGAGTCAGTTCTTCCCCTCCGCCTTTATGTGAGTTTCGGGGACCAAGCTCAGGCTTCCAGCTTTAGGTGGCAAGTGCCATTCCCCTCTGAGCAATCCTGCTAGCCCTGAAATGAGGTCCTTGGGAATTTGCTTCCAAGTGGTGTGTTTTGCTGATGTGGCATATGCGCCAGACTGGGTTGCGCTCTGTGCGTTTCTGTGTCTGTGGGCATGGTGGGCGACTAAGACAACCATCGGCTGGCCTGGGTTCAGAGTAGGTGGATGCATTAGAAGGCAGGCCAGTGGGCCAGTGGGCTTTCCTTCTGACACAGGACAAGAGGATCCTCACAGACTTTCTGTAGGACCTCGTGAGTTCAGGGTCAGAGCAAGAGGATATTTCTGTCCTTGTACCAGGGTTACAGAACGCAGAGCTAGGGAGGGGGACTGCGGAATGTTACGCTGCCCTTCATAAGGAATCGGAAACTCTGAATAGAGACAATATTTATCCTTTCACCAGAGCTCATCATTTTCAGCGACTCCATACTGGAATTATTTTTCTAAGCTATGCCTTAACATTGGTCTGTGCTGTCACGGTCACACAGCGCACACACGGTAGCCATATGAACGCACACCATGCTGGGTGTTTGGTGTGAGAGGGGCCTTGCTCCACCCAGTTCCTTTCTGTTCTGGGTGAACAGGAAGCTCCCCTCTCACCTGTTCTGATTTGATGTGCTCTGATGCCTGGAAGACATCTGGATAGGAAGGTCGTTCAAAGACCCGATCCAAAGCTTCCAGCTGCTGCTGGGTGAAGGTGTCGGCTCGCAGGTGCTTCCGCAAACTGTCCACACCGCTCTGGGAGTCTCCATTAGGGACAGAGCCCTCGGACACATCTGGGGAACACATAGACACTTAAGGCATGGGCACTAGGCCAGCAGAAACAAGGAAGGATGCGGTGGGTAAATGATTAGGCACTTGGCTCAGGACCCTGGCACCCCGTGCCCCTGCTAAGGTCCCTTACTTCTAGTCCATAAACTAGAGGAGGCTGGAGGCCTAGGCCTAGAGGCCTAAGTGTCTGGCCCTTCCTCAGAGACCTGGCTGAGGAAGTCAGAGCCGTGAAAGAGTCGAGGAGAGAAAAAGAAGGGAGGTCATAGCTGTGTGAACAAGAAAAATTAGGTCGAGGTGGAGCCAGGGGATCCCACGAAGCTGTTTTCAAGGCCTCCTTTTCTTAGGACCTCCACCCATCCCCCAGCCTGAGTCATCTAGACGAGGGGCTGGGTTTCCAGACAGGCATTACTGTGGAGAATTGAACTGGGTTCAGATAAATTTCAGTTCCACGGATTCCAAGGGTTGAAAATCATCAAATCTCTGAAGCTGAGTATAACACAGAGTCTGGGCAAAGTAATTAACTGCTCCCGAGGAGGAAGGGTTCTGAGAGCAAAGCTGAGGTCCCCTGGCTGGGTTGGAGACAGAGCAAAGAGCCATGTACGGTTGGCACCCTGGACAGACTCCAGAGAACACGCGAACTGCTATGACCTGGGCACCGTTCCCCCCTGGAGGGTCCTGGCTCAAGCCTCAGTAGGAGCTATTCCCCAGGACACCTGGGTATTCCATCAGGTTTCTACCAAAAGTCAAGGCTTAGTCCATGGGAAAAGGACTGGACAGTGACCACTAGAGCCCGTTTCCAGTCAGAAAGCAGTCTGGTCTCCAAGTGAGGTTCCATTGTCCTCGTTTGCTGTTCCTTGCCCTGCTTGTCCCTGCCTTCCAGTGTCGGGTCACTTGGAGCCTTGAGAGCATACAGAGAACAAAGCGCCTGCCCTACAGCCCCTTTGAGCCCTCACCTAGCAACTCTCCTGGTCTTCCAGCCCCAGCCCTCCATTCCTTGGCTTCCCTCAGCCCATGACAAGCTAGGGAGCCTTGGACCTGGGGCCAGCCTGTGCTTTAGGGCCCAGGGTATTCCTCTGGGACTGTTATATATATCAGTTTATAGGTGATTATATGATATGATATAATCAATATCGCATTATATACAGTAACATTGTACAGTATCATTTGGGAGACCATAGAAAGTATTACATATTGATTAACCTCAATCTACAGCCATCCTCCCTTGCTGGCCGCCCAGATGGAGCAAAAGGCACTGCTTTCCAAAAGGACCTCCCATCTTCCCACCATACTGTGCAGGAGCAAAGAAAGAGTGTGGAGCAGGGAGGGGAGAGAGGAAATATGTAGAGAGAGAGAGGAGGGAAGAGAACGAGAGAAAGAGAGAGAGAAAGACAGAAAGAGAGAGACACACACACACACAAAGATGAGTCTGAGGTGGGCAGAGGCAACCTTGGTGCCATTCCTGTGGATGTATTTTTTTTCTGCATGGTTCTGGAACCATGTATGACCCTGTAGGGAAACTGGACTACAGTATACCCATTTTTCCCTTTGTGTGGGTGTTCTCTGTGCATATATGTGTATGTAATAAACATCTGGGTGAATAGTATGAATGACAGTGGGAATTCTTTTGAAAGCACGCGTGCATCCAAGTAATGCGAGCCATACCCCCTTTCTCCCACGAGCCTCTCTTTCCAGGATGCATCTCTCCCCACCTCCACTGCCTGTCACCGTCTGCATGGCCCACTGTGCCTAACTGTCTCTGCTTGTAGCCCTCCTGCTATCCAGGGAAGCCCTGCTGCCAGGGCCCAGTGAGAGCAGCATCAGGAGACTTGGTATTTATTGCTCCTACTGAATGGGTCCTAGGGAGCAGAAGGTACATTTGTCTGTGAGCATGCATTCAAATATGTGTATGAGTGTGAGCACACACATGTGGCAAGAGGCATTTCATGCCTCTGTGTGGATCTGTGTACATGCCTGTGTGTGGCTTGCTTCACCCCGTGACCGAGATATATGTGTGTGTGTGTGTGTGTGTGTGTGTGTGTGTGTGTGTAGGAGCTGAACTAAAGCTTTGTCCTCAGGTCACTGGCTGGAGGAGTCTCTTTGCCTTCATTTATTCAGGGGCCCTTCAGATCTTGACAAATCTGTCACTCTAAATTTGCGAGAGATTATGGCGCTCTCTCCCCAGCCCGCAGAGAGGTGATATATGATATCTGCTGCCCCTATTGATTGCCTGATCTGGTGGCAGAGGCCGGCGAAATGAACTTGAAATGAACATCATGCCTCAACTCATTGTGCGTATAATACACTACTTAATCCCACATTTTTCAGCCGCTATGGAATTCAATTGATCAATCATGTTCCACTGATAGTACTGTTTTAGGGGTTATTGCTGCTCCCTCCGCTCACTGACCTTTTTATTTATTTATTTTTTTGTACTCACTGGCCCTGGTGGTAAGACAGGTTACAGAGGCAGCAAAGGAAAGCAGGGGAGGGCTGGAAGGGAAGGAAAGAGGAAGCTCACTGCTGGAAGAGGAGGCACTGGGAGGTGGAGACTGAGGAAGGGAGAAGGGAAGTAGGGCAGACAGGTAGAATGTGCTAGTGGCTGGTGATGGAGGACAAAGCTGGTGGAGAACTCTGACCTCAGGCTGGAGGAGTCCCCAGGGAGTCCCCGAGTGGGAAGAAAGGCCCCAGAGGAAGCATCTTCTTCTGGAAAGGTGGGGTTTTGATGAGCAGTGAAGTACAGTAGAGGGACTCATGGCACTGTGGGGTGTGTGTGTGTGTGTGTGTGTGTGTGGTAAGTGAGCTATAGGGCAGGGAGAGGAGTGCAGCCACTGGTGGGAGGCAGGGAGACATTTCTCTCCAACTCAGTCACAGGCCTGGGCTGTCACTGGGTTCTCTGTGTGAAGGCAATGAAGGAAGAGGGAGGAGCTAAGGCGGGGCGAGGGAGGGAAAGGGAGGGAGGGAGGGAGAGAGAGAGAGAGAGAGAGAGAGAGAGAGAGAGAGAGAGAGAAAAGACAGAAGCAAAGAAAGGAGGTGGGAGGGACCATGGGCCAGGAAGGTACAAGGAGGAGGCGCTTCTGCAAGAAGCAAGCAGAAAAGCAGGGGAAGGGCAGAAAGAGGGAGAGGGAAAAGGAAGAGACCTTCCACACCAGAAACCAGGAGGCGCTGGACAGCGTGAAGAAGCTTAGCAAGAAGGATGGAACCTGGTGCTGCGGTTGAGTGTCCAGCTTTGGAGAGGGTCTGGAGCTAGGAGGGGGAGAGATGGGAGGCTAGGAAGAGGAGGGAAAGGGGGAGAGACCATGAAAGAAGAGGGTGGGAAAGTGGAGTAAAAGAAAGAGGTTGGCAGTGCTTGCCACCTGGAGTGCCCTCCCAGAAGCCATGGAGACAGCACTCAGGCAGTCTGGAGAAGAGGCCGCTGCAAGGGCCAGCCAGGGCCTGAAGGGCTATCACCTGAAGCTGTGAAACTATGGGCAGAGTCAGAACTGTGTCCTGACCTAAGTTTTTGAGTGAGAGCGAAGGAACACACGAGAATAGTTAGGTAGCATCAATCGCAAAGACAAGTCCCCACCCAAAAAGTTCCTATGGGCAGGGACCATGGATTTCTGTAACTCTATGCTAGGCACGACACATATCAGGTGCTCACGGAATGAATGAATGAACGAATGAATGAATGAATGAGACTCTCCCTTGTGATATTCAGAATGAGACCCCTGGCAGAAATTTTCTAGACTGGCCGGTCTCACCTGATTGGTCCAGCACAAGTACATGCTGCCGTTTGTCAGGTCAGTCCTACTGCCTGTTAGCTACTGGCAGCATCACCTCAGGTCCCCTGGAAATCCTTCCTGCCTCCGGAATGCCACCCACTTACCTGCAGTGCCCGAAGCTAACAGAAAACACTGTTCCTAGTCCAGGCCGAATTTAGCCTTGGAATCAAAGGGCTGCCACCGAGAGCAGGTGGCAGAAGCTGCTTCAGGACAGGGTTCAGGATCTACACGAGTCTACATTTCACTGCCCTGTACCAAGAAGGCTGGAGTATGGTGTCTGTATGTTCTGAACTTTCTGGAACAATCCCTATTTACAATATTTCTTTCAAGACTCAGGCTATGCTTTTAGAGAGAGGTGAAAAATGCTGTTGTTGGCTTCCCTCAACATTTGAGGGAAATGACTGGGTGCTGGCCCAACAGTTCCCACTGATGAGTCAATCCTGCTTTCCCCTGGCTCCTGCCAGACACTCTAGCACTGCCCAAGGATCAGGAGCCCCTTGGACTGGGATGTGGTTCAGTGGGAACATTTACAAAGCACATTCAAGGCCCTCGATCCCGTCTCCAGGACTATAAAACAAACAAACACACAAACAAACAAAATAATGAAAAGAATTCTAAAACATGCATGGCAATGCACGCCTAGAATCTCAAAATTCAGGAGGCTACAGCAGGGACATTGGGTGTCCCAAGCCAGCAGGGGCTATCTAGTGAGACCCTATCTCAAAAGAATCAAAGACCAAAAAGCAATGCTTCTGCACTTCAGAGCTCATTTAATCCTTCCAACAATGCCATGAAATAAACTCCACGGCACTTATTTCATGTATAAGGAAGCCAAGACAAAGGACATTAAGTAGCTTATTAAAGACCATGCCCCTAGTAAATGATAGTCAGGATTTGAGTCCGGTCTAATGCGAGAGCTTGCCTTCTAAATTACTTTACTCTGAACTAGGTACTGAAGCCAGGGGTCCAGCCGAGCATCACTTGACCCTATTCAAGGTGCACCCCCAGTTCTTTGCTGGTACTTTTCTCTATAGTGAGGCTGATCCCTGTGGTGTGCGCTGGCTGAGCACAGACTGCTTAGACGATTAGGGTTCTACTAGTTGGGTGGACAGGCTCTAGGTGGATTAGAGCCTTCTTATTTATTCACAGATCTTGGGTTATTTGGGCTTGCAAACAATTACCCAACATTGCTAGGAATTTTAACTTTTAACTTTCGAGAGAACTAAGGTTCAGAGTCACTGAAGTACAGATTGTGTAAGGGTTAGGGGCCAACTCTAGGGCATAGCCACCAAGGACCCCAGCACAAGGAAGTTCTTCAGCAAATGGTTAAGCTATAGGCTGATCTGAAAGACAATACTGCCCGCTCAGCTCAATAGTAGGAAGCCTCCGTGTAAAGAAGAACAACCATGAATGCAAAGGTCATCTTCACTGAAATACTGCCCCAACATGCTCACTGTGGCTTCTTCCTGATATAAGCAAGTTTGCCTTCTTTCTGTCTCTGCCGTCCTCCATTGTCTAGGCTTTGGGCAATGACATGTATTACCTCTAGAATCTTTATTTAAAAATATCTCAGGACTAGCAGGGGAGCTTAGTGATAGAGCATGTACTCAAGGCTCTGGGTTCAATTTCCAACACACACACACACACACACACACACACACACACAAAGGGAAACGTCTTACCCCTCCATCTGAACACCTCCTAACAGCCTTATCCTGTCAATACTGTCACCTCCTCTGTTCATGGGCTGCTCTGGAGCAGACACCATCTCAGACTGGACCCCGGGCCAGAACCCTTAATCTGGTCAGTCACAAATGGGAACGTCCAGTAAGGTCTCAGCAGCTCAGTGAGTGGGAAGTCACTGAATACCACGACTTGTGCTGGAGACAGAGGAGAAATGTATCCTCTCTTCCCTGTGTTTACCTTCACCTGGATTCCAAAAGTGGTCAGTGAGAAGGAAAGGAGGTAGATGGAGCCGTGCACTCACCAAGAGAGGTGGGTTATGGGAGCAGGACAGAATTAACCATTTCTTTTGTCAGAAGGCACCAGGGCTCCTAAAGTCTATACCCTCAGGGTGAGGTGAGCTGGGGCAGTGCACTAAATCCCTTCAAATGGGATTGATTTGAACTTTTAAAATTATTCTTTTGTTTTCGTTTTTTTGAGACAGGGTTTCTCTTTGTTAAGAGCCCTAACTGTTCTGGAACTTGCTTTGTAGACTAGGCTGGCCTTGAACTCACTGAGATCGCCTGCCTCTGCCTCCCAAGTGCTAGGATTAAAGATGTGCACCACCACCACCTGTCTGATTATTTTTGTTTTTAATGCTATATAGGCATGGGTTTTTTCCTGTGTGAGAGTTTGTGCATGAGAATGTAGCTGCTATAGAGGTCAAAAGCATGGGCTCTCCCTAAGCTAGAGTTATAAGCAATGTGAGATGCTTAGTTTGGGGGCTGGGACTTGAACTCTGGTCCTCTATAAAAGCAGCACATGCTCTTAACCAGTGAGCTATCTCTCCAGCCTCCAAGAAACTTTTTAACATAGGAAAAAACTATATAGCTTTTATATTAAATTTTAATATAAATTTTAATTTAATATAAAAATATTAACTTTTTTTTCTTCTAGAGGTGGTGATCAAACTCAGGGCCTTGAATATGCTAGGCAAGCATTCTAGCATTGAGCTTTAGTTTCCTAAGAACAAACACAAAGGTGCACTGATCACGGGAAAACAAACAGTACGCTTTCACTTAAACATATTAAATCTGTTCAACTTTACTAGGTTCTTGTTATCGTCACCATCATCATCATTGTTTTTCAGATAAAGAAATAAGTTTCAGAGAGCAAGTTGCTTTGTCTAACATGGAGAGCTGGTAAGTAGCAAAGCCTGGATCTAAAGCCGGAAGTGTCTCTTTCTTCTAAGAAAGTCAAGTTTGCCTTTGCCGTCTGACCGTTCTCAGCACAGCCGTCATTTACTGCTCACTCCCGGCCCTCTCTGACAGACTCAAGACACCTGCCACACTGCCTCTAGCCCTCCCTCACCAAGCACCTGAGAAAGAGATCCCGTCCGGTCAGTTTTACAAACAAGGAAACAGCTGTGGAAAAGTTCAACATGACCGCAAGAACTGGTACAGAAGGGCAAAGAGTGTGGAAGAAAACAGCAGAGGCTGGGGCAGCAGCATTAAATTTATTCCTCTACCTTATTTCCTCCACGTTCTTCCCCCTCAGAAGGGCTCACCCCCAGCCTGTCCCCCAGTCTCCCCAGCTGCCGGTTGTTGCAGTTTCAAACTCAATTGTTCTCCCCGGTACTGAGGCAAATGGAGTCATTAATTACCTTCTATCTGCTGGGCTGAGTTCAGAATGCGATCAATATCCCTCTTGTCATTCAGGGCAGTCCGCCTGTGCAGCCCCGGCCCCACCCCCCATAACAGTGGCACAGCAGGACCTGGGCCCCCATCTGATAGTGGAACAGGGATGAGATTGCTCCCCAGAACTGGGAGAAGAGCAAGGAATGAAGGGAGGAGGCAGAAGAAAGCGGAAAGAAGCCAAGAAAACAAAGGGGCATGAGCAAAGGAGTCTGGATGGGAAGTCTGGATGGAAAACAGACATGGGAAAGATGGGAAGAGAAGACAGGAAAGCCTGGGAGAAGAGAGAAGGAGGGAGAAAAGGAGAGAGAGAGAGAGAGAGAGAGAGAGAGAGAGAGAGAGAATAGGTGCCACTGTGTCCTGCAGTGGCCTGGATAGGAGATAGGATGTGGTACCCTAGTGCTTCCCACCTTCAGATGGACAACCTTGAAGTTTGGTCTGGCCACAAACACCAAATCAAGCTTGGAAGTCATGAAAAAAAACCTTGGAAAGTCAGGAGTCATGGGGTCTGCCTTTAATTCCAGCACTTGGGAGGCAGAGGCAGGCTGTTGTCTGTGAGTGTAAGCTCAGCCTAGTTTACAGAGTAAGTTCCAGGACAGTCAGAGCTAGATAGTAATACTTTGGAGAGAGAGACAGAGACAGAGACAGAGACAGAGACAGAGAGCCCTTGGGAATCTGCCAAAGGCTTTGGCTCTGGGCAGTGTTAGGTCTGCCCAGCCCACCAGCCGTGGCAAACCCCACATTCTACCTTTGGCCACACCCAGCCTCTAAACACTGAGTGGGTTCACCCTAGGGTGAGAAGCTGGGGTGGCTGGTAGTATCCCTACCTCAGGCTTGCTATGGTTACCCATATCTACTTACTTCTGGGGACACTATGTTAGGGACTTTAAAACCAGGCTGGAATAGATGTTCCACCCTTAAGACAAGACTTGGCCCTGGAATAGATGTAACATTCCCCAGGGCTGAGTCTTGACTTTTCTTGCTCACTTTTCTTGTGACCTTGGACAAATCCTGTGAGCTTTTCTAAACTGAGTTTCCTTAGATACAGGCGAAAAGGCTGGGGGTCATCTGACAGCAACATTGATTTTTTTTTTTTCCTTTCTCAGTATTCCAACGCTACCTACCCAAATCTCTGCTGTAGCAATAATAATAACATGGACCTAGATTCTGGTACGATACCAAACCCTATGCTTAACAAAAACACATGGATTTACCTCGTAGAACAATAGCATGTTCTAAGTGTATAATCGGTGCATGTCAGAAGTTTTTACTGTAGTAACACATTCAGTGTTCATAAGAAAAACTTTATCAGGGAGCTTCTCTTATTATACCCATGTCACAGGTAAGAAAATAGAAGTTTGGAAGTCAGGGAACTTCCCCAAGGTCACATGAGGCAGATAATGAATGGCAGCAGAGAAGGCAGAGCCTCTCTGTTGTACCTCTGGAACCTAAGCTCATAACCTGGGGAAACTGAGGGCTTTCAAAGATAGGTGACTGCTCCAAACAGCTTACCATAGCCAGTAAGCGCCAGAGCCAAAAGTAACCTCTGTATGCAGCACAGTTACATTGCCATGCTCGCTCTCTTTACTCAACTGTCTCTGAAAGCAGAGACCCCCCCCCTTTTTCTCGTCTTTGTAAACCTAGCATGGAGACTGATGCACGTGTTCTCAAATGTTGACTGACTCATCAGATTCCAGGGCAGAGGTGGATGAGCCCTGAGCTTGCCTCCCCACCATTTTACTTTTGAGAAGGAGAAAAGAAGCAACGATAGACGTTATCACTGCGGCCTCATTCTCACACTTTCCAGCTGCTGAGTGTGTCCTGAAGATGCTTCGATCTGATTCCATCTTAGAGATAAAATCAGAACAAAACAAAATGCAGGTTCAGAGAGGCTAGGTAGCAGTTCTGTGTCACAGAGATGGTCGCTTGTCCTATCCCTTGACTCTGGCCAAGAAAGAGAAATGGATTAAAGGAAAATGATGGGGATCTGGGGGCAAAGCCACCTGTCTAAAGCAGGCAAAGGAAAGGGACATTGACAGAATCCCACAGGAAGAGAAAACACACATGAAACTTCATGTCAAGAGATTCTAAATGAAGATATAACCCCACAGATGACAGATGCTCCGAAGGATGCAATTCTGCCTCCATAAGCTTAAATGACCAACCTGATGAAGGAAGAGAACTGGAGAAAGGGAGAGCGGAACGAGAAGGGCACTTAGGGAAACCACCGTTGCCGCACACGGCTAAGCTTTAAAATATGATGAGCCCAGACTTTAAAAGGACATGTACATTGAACAGTGGAAGATTATGCAGCCATTAAAAAAATCATGTTTTCAAGGAATATGTAATGACATGTGAAAATGCTACTATATAACGTTAAGTAAAACTAGCAAGACACAGAGCTGTGTGCGGAGCAGCGCTCCAGCTTTAATTAAGAACTACATATCTAAAGTTGCACATGTATAGGAGGAAAAGGTTCCAAAATATTGCCTCATTTCAACACTGGTTATCACTCAATGATGAGCTTATAGATTTTTGGTTTTTTTTTTAGAAATGTATTGTCCTGTCCAAATATTTTACAATAAGCATGGACTGCACTTACAGTCAGACGAATGCACCCTGCCCCCCAAAAGGGTACAAAACAGATGGAAGGAGGGACCATAACCAAGGAGAGAGGTGAGAGTAGCATGAGGCTGCAGGAAGACAAAGACTCAGAAGGAGCCGAGACAATGCAGAAGGGTCTTCCTCTGCTTAGAGCAGGGTCGCAAAGGAAGGCATGCCGGCCTCAAACCTTGGAAAGAAGAGATGGAGAGAAGGGGAGAGGAGAGGGGAGGGGAGGAGAGGGAAGGGATAGGAAGAAGAGAGGAGGAGAGAAGAAGAGGGGAGGAGAGGAGAAAAGAGGGAATGCCTAGTCTGTCTTTGTCTCCATAGGAAAAGGCAACAATGCCCAGTGTGAGCCCAGGGAGCTGGAGAGGGCACTTCCCATGTGCTGACTTTCTCAGGTCACTGTTAGATCTCAGGACTCAGAGGAACCAAGAATCCTAAAACTGCTATTGCTGAGTCCTTGAGTACAGACGGTGATTTTCAGAAGATTTTGCAAATGACATTGCAATGCATTCAGTTTTAGGCTTTGGGTATTTTTCTGAAAATAACCGAATATTACACCACCGATTTTCAGGGACTAGAAAAGAAAAGGTGATACCCTGGAACCTGAATGCACTCGCTGAGAGTAAGTTGTGGCACATTAAAATGTTCCTCCACCCCCACTGCCATGATGATGTGCCCAATTGCCTTGCTGGAAGACACAATTCTGTTTTGTCTTGTAAAACATTCCTTGTAGCCGTCCTGCCATGATCACATCATAAGTCATGTTCTTCCTGTGTGGCGTGTGCACATCAGCATTTGTGCATCTGTCTCTCAACTAGATGATAAGCGTCTCGAAGTCAAGAACTGTCCCATTTACCTCTGTAAGTCAATCATGCATCTTTCCAAAGCAGGCGCCCAATTTTCTTACACTGATATTTTCTTTCTTAACTTATTTATTAAGAAAACCACATGGATATAGAATATGTTAACATTTGACAAAGACACCTCTTCCCTTCCCTGGGAGAGGGACAGGGCAGGAAGAGGGCGATAGTTGGTGACTGCCGAGTTCAGTGGTATCTACAGTGCTGGGAGGAGGGCTTCACTTTTGTCCACATGATTTTCTTCATGTGAAAGGAGAATAACAATAAAAGGAAAGAGAGGAGAAAGAGGAGGAAGAAGAGATGGAAGATAAAGGGGGGAGGAAGAGGAGGAAAAACTCCCAGGACTTCTTGGACTGTGATACAGAAGACATCCTTATGACTTTCTTCGGGTAGAGTTAAGAGCCTGAACCAACAAGATGAAAATTCAACAGGGATAAATGGAATGCCCTATGTTTAGGTTAAAAAAAAATCAATTACACAAGTACAGAATGGGTGGACCTGGCTGGATAGCAATTGATGTGAAAAAGATCTTGAGGTTTTAGTTGACCATGAGCTTAATATGTGCTCGAGTCTGACACGGCTGCTAAAAAATCGAATGTAATCTTAGGCTACGTTATGGGTGTAGAGTCTCCAGGCGGGAGAGGGGCAGAGGTTCTGCAGGAAAGTACCTGGCCTTGACTGGACTGTCCCTGAGACTCAGTGCTCGCGAATCCAGAGACAGGTGACCAGGATGGAGAGGGAACTCCCTTGAGGGGAGGAACCGAATCACAAGGGAAGCTGAAATCCACCCAGGGTTCAGCTCAGAGTTTGCTGAGAGCTTGGCAGAAAGGGTGGAATGACTGAAGGAAACAGGAAGGGAGGGAGGGGACAATGAAGGACAGATATCAAATGAAGGTGCTTTATCACCATCCACTGTGGTCCTGGTAAATGTCATGACCTCTAAATCTTTTGCCAAAAACTCAAATTGCGCAAGATATTGTAAATACTCAAAATAGAGCCAGAAAGGTGTGGGGTGGGCTCCTGTCCTATGCTCTGTCTCAAGCAGAGAAAGGCATAGCTGCAAACAGTGGGCACTGTTCAGCTGTGCCCCGTGTTCATGCACAGGCTGTAGTCCAGCAAGCGGAGCTGCGGAAAGGGCGGGTTCTATGGTGAAAGGCAGGCAAGACCAACGACCCTCAAGAATCTGGGATTCTCCCTTGTCACCGCTCTCCCAGTCTCTGGAGACAGCCAGTCCCAAGGGGAGGCCTGCTGCCTGCTCACTCTTGCTTTTTTTTGTCATCTCCCTGCACCCCTCCTGAGTGCATAGCCGCGAG